TTCTTCCAAAGCAGAGCCAACATTCTGACCCCGACGAACCCGACTAGCAAGCTTACCCCTGGTCAAGACATCGTTCCGTTGGATCCACGAGAGCTGGCCATTCCCGAACTCCATGCACCAGCGGAGCGCCAGGTCGGCGTAGTTCAGGGCCGATGTGAGGTCAATCATCTTTTTATCCTTGCCGTCGATGTCCTTGGAGATGTAGTTGCCCGCCCACGCCCAAGCGTAGGCCAAGATGCGCAAGCTCCAAAAGTAATCAACAGCATTGCGCAAAGTAACCACCGAGTCCTTATGGAAGTTCAATGTGAGGCCCCCCTGAAGACTCACAGACTCCTCCCGTTGAGGGGTGGCCTGAGCCACCACGGACTTGATCTTGCGAGCCTCAATGACCGTCATGGTGTGTCGCCTGAACTCGCGGTAGACACGCCCGCGCAGGGCGTCAGAAGGCTCCAGGTGCGTCTCCACCACGAAGCCATAGGCCTTCTGGAAGTCATGCTGAAGCTGCTGGGTGGTAGCCTCCGGCAGCGGCTCCTCAAGATCAGTCTCCTGCTGGTGACGTGTTGCAGCCTGCTGACTAGCAGCGATTGCCGCAGAGCCCGCCTGCCAGGCCGCCTTGAAGCGTGCAAGAGCTAAGCGATTATCACGAATGACACCGACCTCCTGAACGAAGGCAGCCAATGAAGACTCCCATTCACCCTTATTGATCATGTAGACGAAATCATCCAAAGTCTCAAGACGATGATGTGACACCACCGCCTGGATCCAGTCCTGTTTGACCCCACTCGCCGCAAAGCAAGAATGAAGGCCACGATCATCAGCCTGAAGATCCACTCGAAGCGTCTGCGACATTATGCAAGAGGGCTGCAAAACCTGACACAGAGGCTGGAAGCAATCTCGAGCAGCTAGCCTGAAGAAAAGCAGGGGGGGAGTCGAGCAACAGCTGGAAGCAGCGAACGACTGTCGATCGTGCGTCGCTGCAAAGCAACAAACGGCACAGGTGAACAGCATGTATGCTGTGACTGTGCCCCAAGCCCCGAAATTTTCTCAGCCGCCAGCGCCCTGATGCTGCAGACGCGGTATTCGAAGCACTGTCCTATCTAGGCCCCCCAACCCGAACGGTGACACGGCTTGCAGAAATGCCTAGCATGATCAGCAGGGCGCGCGGGATTGATACGGCGACCACAAAGAGCGGTGCAAAGAGGATTTTGGCATTGAGCTTGGCACCGTTGCACTTGGTATGGCTGCACCGGCGGGGGCACACCCGCGCTAGCATGAGAATGGGAGCCCGTAGTATTCTGGACTCGCTGGCGAACTGCTCTCTCCGCATTCAAGGCCGCCAGGATGCGCTGCAAGTAATTGTCGTTGAGGCCAGCCGCCCAAGCCGCCAGCTCCTGATCATTGAAGGTCGCCTGCTGCTGCATGTTAGATCGGCTGGGAGGGTAGAGCGGAGCACACAAACTAAAGCTGGAGCCTGCGCGAACACAGCACTAAGGCTGGCTGACAAAGCGATGCATAGGCAGGTCCGGGCGACCTGAGCACGCTCCGAGATGCTGTCCGAGGAGGTGTACCCTCTCGTGCTGCAAGGAGACACAGAGGCGGGTAACCCAAACTACGGGACTACACTATTTAGGGGGGTAAAGGCTGTTGCGAAGGGCAGTCGCAAACGGATCCTGCACAGTCCAGAGCAAGCTTGCTGGTCCACATGTGACAGACGCGAAGCATGTGCGGAGCCGTGACAGGACCCTGAGACTCATGAACTTGGCCATTTCGGGTGCATTGCACTTAGCGAAGCTGCACTATTCAAAGCCCTACGATGGGGCAAAAGATGCTCGGATGCTGCGTGGCACGGCCCTTAAACACCGAGCACACAGCGAGGCAGACTGTGGCGGGAGCCCGAAACCCGACGACAGCGGATCCTGAGCAAAAGGGGTCGTCCTGCAAAAAGGTATCATACGACCCTGTTCATCAAGCTGGTTTACAAAATGTAACTTCCGCTTCTGCTGAAGCCACTGCCAATCACTGGTGTCCTCATCAGGAATCTCCGCCTCCGAGTCAGAGCCTGTCGACGAGCTCGAGGACGAACAAGAACTGGAAGAAGATCCCGGTTGTGCATTCTCCTTGGGCACACAATCCTCGAGAGAAGGCTGCTGACCAGAAAGGTCCTTCCACATGACAGAAGAGGGCCCCAAGAGGCCGTTTGGCTGAACCAATGCGCCTTGACGACGGTGAAAAACTTGAAGTACACCATCAATCACCTGACGCTTTGCATCGCAACTAGTGGCAGTCTTGTTACCAGCATAATGGTGACTCATTAAGCGCTGACGCTTGGGGCCACTGGGGCGAACATTGTCCTGAGCCGCTTCTGTCCAAGAACCAAGTGCCTGCAAACGGGAGTTATCGAAGCTAAAGGTGGTGCCGCCGGTGGGAAGAAAACGCCTAAGGCGGTTGTATGCCACACCACGCAAAGCTTCCTGAGGCAGACCACAGCGTGCCAAGAGGCCCCTGAAGAACTCAATGAATCTAGCACCACCCAGCTTGCGAGACAGCTGCAAAGGCGTATGCTCAGTCACTTGCCAAAGGTCAACAGCTTCCAAAGCAGGGCGAGGCCAGAGATGTCCGAAGCCCTGATCTCGTTGCCGCACAACCACCGGGCGCACCTCATCCAAAAGATTGAACTTGCCCAGCTCAACCTGAGGGAGGGCCCAGTTGTAGGGCACTCTAACACCTTGGTGCCGACTTTTGCCCATGCTGCAGCGGAACTCCAGCCAGGTACCATGGTCGCAGACTAGAGTAGAGCGCTGCATGTGCCTGAAACGGATACAGGATGCCGCCGACATAACGCAAAAAGAAGACATCGTTCTCTGGCAGCCCGTGAGCTCTGCTGCGCACAAGAGCATGTTAAGGAATTCCCATGGTTGAAGTTCAGACGCCTGCTGTTGAGCATGACCTGGTGCGTGCAGGCGGAAAGACTTGACCATGAAGTGCTCGATGGGATAATCTGCATTCACATGAACCTTCAGCCAGCGAAACATCTGCCAAAGGGAGCTTGATGCTGTAGGTCCTCCGAGGCTAACGAACCGGAGGAAAGCTGCAAGCTGTCTGGGGCCCGGGTGGCCCGTGGAAATTGAATGCTCAGCAGCGAACTTAAGCCACCGCTTGAAGCCCCCCAGCAAAGCGCCCAAGTGGCCCTCCGAGCAATGGAGAGCAGACGGCAGCACCACGCGTGCAGCCTCCCAAACAGAAGCAGCATCCTCAAGATTCAGCCCAGGAAAACCAATCTCGTCGTGGTCCAAGACATGCTTATACAAAAGGCAGAAAAGGGCCATGCACTTGGACTTGACAATGTCGGCTACCCGAGGCGCCGCAGATGCAGCCGCAGCGACAGGGGTTCGCACCGAAGCCGCACCCTGCCGCCACGGAACTGATAGGAGAGGCGGCTTCTTCGTGGTAAAACTGTTTGGCTGGCTCGGAAGCTGTTGTGATCTCACCGATGGGAAAATGCTTCGTCGCTCCAGCACGAGTTCTGCCGAAGATGCATCTACCAGCGATGCACTCAAACGGACAGCCCGGCGCCAAAGCTGCAGCAGGGCTTCTACGCTCTCCTGATCGTGTTGTGCGTCTGATACAATCTCTGCAAACAGAGTCTCCTCGCAATCCCAGAGATATCTCACATCTGTCCAGGAGGCAGCCCCCAATCGAGCCAACCAAGAAGCCGCAAAAGGCGGAAGAGAAGCCAAGTGTGCCTCAAATGTTCCGGCACCTCGCACCGCCGAAGGCTCCATACAGATAAAGGAGGCAGCTGCTCATAGCTCAGTAGGGAGAAAATTATAGAGACAGCTGAAAGATCTGAAGTGGAGCCTGAAGCTGCGGCCAGCAAGTAAGTTTCAGCTCGCAAATGGGCCCTTCCCAACCAACCTACAATTTGCGAAGACA